CCTCAACTCTGACTCCTCAGACTACATGCCTGGGGTGAGAACCCAGGAGCCTCAGATCCTCAGCATGGAGTAAGATTCAGTGCCAAGACTGGAATCGGAGCCCAAGAACCCTTATGTCAAGCCCACACCTGGGTCGCACCCCAAAACAGAAAGCAGGAGTGGAAGCATGGGTGCAGGAGGTGGCTGGGGCTTCACCCTTAGAACCAGAGGAACTAGGAAGAAGAAACAGGGAAGGCTGAGTCTTCAGGTCAGGTATTCTTGGCTAACCTCGTCTCCTCCTCCTGGGGACAGTTCTAGCACTGAGGGTCTGGGGGTCCCAGGCACTTTGCTTTGAGGAGTCATGGGGGTGGCAGAGGAAGGGAAGCCTGTTTCCATTCACCTCATGGATTTGCCTTTGCATCTGGGAGCACAGAGGACTTGGGTCTCTCATCAAGAAGCAGAACCAGGGCGCCCTGGTGCCTCAGTTGGTTAAGCGACTGCCTTCGGCTCAGGTCATGATCCTGGAGTCCCGGGATCGAGTCCCGCATCGGGCTCCCTGCTCAGCAGGGAGTCTGCTTCTCCCTCTGACCCTCTTCCCTCTCGTGCTCTCTATCTCTCATTCTCTCTCTCTCAAACAAATAAATAAAATCTTTAAAAAAAAAAAAAAAAAAGCAGAACCAATTCCTGCAAGGGTCCAAAACCCTCACTGGACCTCACAAAGACGACCTGCAGAGAGGAGTCAACATTGAAAATTATCTCAGTCAGAACTGCCCCCTCTACTGCATGTTGTCCCCCACCTCAGCAAGTTGGGAACACACAATCACCCCAACCAGGCAGGGGGCTCATCCTGCTCTCAGTCTGACAGAGGAAGGAAGAGGAACATTTTAAAAATAGCTAAAGCTTGGTGAGCACTTGCCATGTGCCAGGCACGGTTCCAAGTGCCTGCTTGGCATGTACCACCTTGTGAAATCTCATGAAGGAGGGCCGGGCGTCTCCCCACCTGAGGTTGAAGGGCCCCAAAATTCAAGGTTACTGTCTGAACTGGAGGGCAGCCAGCCCTGAGAACTCAGGAAGCAGTTTTCAGTTTTCCTGAATTACCTGGAATTCTTCATTCTTCCCCTCCCACCCCGCCCAGCACAACCTTCCTTCACAATTGCATAATGGGCTCTCAGGTGTTTGGAGGAAAGGCAAGAAGAGTAAATCGGGACAAATGCATCTTTGTTATTAAAAGTGGTTTTAAAAATGCTTCTGTGGTTGAGGCAGAAATCAGTCCTACGGCAGCTGGGCTTGGGGAGCTGGGGCCAAATCCGAGGTCAGCCAAGACACAGTGACCCTGATGCGTCCCGGGCTGGCCCCAAAGCACTAATGGCAGGAGGGAGCTAGAACCCAAGTGGCTGAGTGCAGAGAGGACGAAGGGAGGCCTGCACTGCTACACAGGGCGGGGGTGAGCACCAGACCCTTGAAGACAGCAGCACGGGCACCTGCTGCAGACCACTTGCAGGGCCCACCCCCTGCCCCCACACATGCCCCTCTGGGAGGCACTCATCTGCCCACAAGCAGCCCTCCCAACCTTCCTCCAGCCTTGCAGCATGTCACAGGGCAGAACGTGCAGCTCCCTGGCCACCCTCAGCCCAGCTATTAGGCTGGAGTCCTTCCTCTGCAGCCTTCCAAGCAGAAAAAGCTCCCCAGCCACAGCCCTAAACTCTCTCCTCCACAACTCAGCCAGGAATAGAGGGAAAATGGAACCCATTATTCTCATTCTGAAGGGCTGGGAAATGGCTTGTGCTTTTCAACACAAAATGTGCCTAAAAATAAGCTGTGAATTTCAACCAGAGGTTGAAAATAGCTCTGGCAGTGAACAGAGCTCTGTTCAGAGTGAGCTCAAGGATGGCCTTCATTCCAAGAGTGAAAATGGAATGCTGCAGTCCGAGCAAGGGTCCTGGGCAGGGGGCTTTCCAGGGCAAGAGGGGCCGTCACTCGCTCACAGGGCTGCCCTTGCCATGCTCCACTGGTGGAGGCCTGCCCTCCAGCTTTAGAATGCCATACTCTATGAGACACACAGTACCTGAGTTGGTGGCTCCGTAAGATCCTCAAATGCCTAAGTGTGTCTCGGGCAGCTTTAGGGCCTCAGGCCCAGGGGATAAACAGAGCTAGCGGGGGGAGAGGGTCATAGCTGAGCCAAGCCACCCTGGCCAGCCACCAAACCACTCACCAGTTACTATCTCAGAGCCAGGGAAGCCAGCAGGCAGAAAGGCCAAGAACACATCCAATGGTAAGTAAAGGAAACCAAGTTGCTAAAGGTCTTTTTTTGTTGTTTACCATCACCTCTGGAAGATTCCAAAGTTTGACAGGCCAAAACAACATTTCTATACAATAGACTTCTATTAGAAACAGTCTAGAGACCTGAGCCCCAGCTGCCAGGGGAGCCCAAATCTGGCCCAACTGAGCAGGGGCAGGAGCTCGAGTCATCACACTTGGGGCCGCGCTCCGCCTGCCACAGAGACAGCCCTGACCCCCCCGCCCCCCGCCCACATTCCTACACTCCTCCTGCCGCTGCATTCACTTCCTTTCTGGGCTCACTCCCGAGGCAGGAGTTAGTGTAGTGGTTCTCCACTGGGGGCCATTCTGCCCCACCGGAAGAGATCTGGCAACGCCTGAAGACATTTTGGGTTGTCACAATGAAGGGGGGGTGGGGAGTGCTACCGGCAGCGAGTGGGGAGAGGCCCAGGATGCTGTTAAACATCCCGCAAGGCCCAGAACAGCCCCCGCAGCAGCCAAGGCTGGGTCCGCTGGAGGGGCGGGAACTCATCGGATGCACCCGTTCCTGGCACGTGGCTACAGGGCACCTGGGCTCCCGGGGCAGCTGAGACACTCTGGCCAGCCATGGAATTGGTCACCAACTCAGTGCCAGGGAAGCCCCAGGGCAGGAAAGGTGAGACTATACTCGTCAGCTTCCCTTCCCACCACAGGGGCAAACCTAACCGCTGGGCAGGGCTGGACCAACTGGCTTCCCTGGGCATGCAGGGCTGAAAGAACTCCATGGACGACAGTGGTGATGGTTGGACAACAGCGTGGATGTATGCTTTGGCATGGGTTATATGTCTGCATGAGGGGCCATAAACCTCCTCAGCATCCCAAAGTGGCTTGTGACAAATAAGGGAAAAGCCATCAACAACAATTTTAGGACTCATAAGTCACTGTGCAGGTTAGCAGAGTTCACCTACGTCCCACATGGGCTCCTCAGAGCCTGCCTAGGAAAGTACTCAGGTCCCACTGTAGAAACAGAGGCATGGGAAGAATGGGTGCTTTGTCTGGGACCACACAACCAGGACTCAGATCCAGTTCTCTGAGCCCAGAGCCCATATCCTTTCCCCTGTGTGAGCACCACGTGGCGATGCCCAGTGGAACTGTGGCTATATCTGTCGTGGGCCAGGAGGTAGTATGGGAATACACGGTTTTCCTGAGCACCAGTGAGCTATTCGCCCATCCATGCCAAACCCTGCCCTGTCCTGCTGGCTTCCCCCACCCTGAAGGCCTTCGTGCTAGATTATCAGGCCCCACAGCTCTGGGACACAAGGGTGCTCCATACCCCTTATCTAAGCAGGACTGAAGGGACAAGAAGCAGCTTGTCCAAGCCTCCTGCCTAATAATCACAAGAAAAGGAATATGGGATTCTCCCTTTGCTGGTGATTACTAACCATTCCCAAGAGGCAGGTGGCAATGCCCTCTCCCGGGACAGGTGGAGAGCTGCCAGGCAGCCCTCTGCCGCCTACAGTTACTCGTTTGAGTCAGCCTTGCTCAGAGGGGCCAGTGTGGTGAGCCCCCAGGTCCAGGCATCCAGGCGGGTGACTAAGCCCCAGGCGTCTCATCTGAGAATTAGAGTAGTACCTTTACCCGCCCAGCCTGGGCTTGGCTCACTGTAAATGCCCAGCACATGGGGAGCTGGAAAGGAGATGGCACTCACCCTACAGGATCCAGTCCTGCAGTTTTTGAAAAATGCCTTTCTAGGCAGAAGACCAAACAGCAGCAAGGAGACCGCCATGCAACCCAGTCATCCCCAACAGACCCAAAAGCTGAGAATCGGCTACTCATTAGCAAATGTGGAGAGAGAACAAAACCTCCCGGCCCAGATCAACCCTAGGAAGAAAAGCTTTAAATCTCAACCTGGCCTATTCCTAGAAGTAGCCCCAACACACAGAATGCAGCTGTGTGTGCGTGTCCGTGTCCGTGTCCGTGTGTGTGTGTGTGTGTCTCAGGCTGGGGTGGGGGATCCCTCTGCAGGAGCCAAAGAAAGGCCAGGATGGACTCAGAGGCTTCCTGGTTCTATTCTGGGCCAGCCTTGACTTGCTGGGGGCCTTGGGCAAGCCGTTTCCTGTTGTTCAGGCCAGTTTCCGTAGGTGGGAGAGGCTACACTGCCTCCAGGGTCCAGGAGGGAGAGATTTAAACAGCCAGCGGCCACTGGGGCTTAAAACCCTCAAGGCTCCGCATCCTTGGCTTGAAAGCTTATTTCAGCCAAAGGGGAATACAACTTTATTCAATGAGATCATATCAGTTATCAAATTTTTCCCCAAAACGATTTGTCAAAAAATATCGTTAACTATTTGAATTCAGGAACACTAAATGCCCTTTTACCTACAAAGGTACTAAAAATGGTTTGTGGCTGAGGAACTTCCTTTCCATGGTGTAAAAAAAAAAAAAAAAAGGGAAGTGAGAGCAACAGGGCTGAGCCTTTCCCATCCGTCCCAGCTGTGGCTCAGGTCCCACGCCCTCTAGGAACTCTCCATCGGGGTCGTGTGGCCCAAGGCTCGGCGTGGGACAGGTCCTTCCTTTCCTCAACCAACAGTAGCCTGTGCCATGGAAACCACCCCCCCAGGCACAGGGCCTCACACCCTGTAGTCTTCATGTCTTGTTTGTACATTCCAGATTTGAAACAAAGTACCACAAGTGCCAAAAGATTATTTGCCGTTCACCATGACCCACTGGAGTTTCAGGGCTCAGGACACGCCTACTGAGCCACTTACCAGATTCCCGGAGGACGTGGCAAGCAGCGCTGGGGGCCTGTGCACTTTCAGGACTTCTCCATAATCCACAACATCAAAGTTACTCTTCCAAACCATTACCTGCCAAGAGCAACAAGCACAATGACATCACACCAGCCCTACTTCATGGAAGAAAGGAGCCAGGGGTGACTCCCAAAGTTCTGGGCCAGTTGCAAGACAGTCCCCACCTGACACCCCAGTTCAACTCTGGGACCTGTCCCACCTCCCCAGCTTTTTAGACAGGCCTCGAGAAGACCTGGTGGTGCCATCAGGAGGGACTCACTGCATGCTGTCCCCAGGACTTTGCACTTGCTGGTCCCTCCCTGGAGGGTCCCAGCATAAGCGGAGCTGGCTTCTCAAGCTAAAGCGTCTGTTTCAGCAGCATCTTCTCCGAGAGACCTTCCCTGGTCTCCTGCTAATTTTTATCATAGCCCTCTATTGATTTCTTTCATTGCATCAGAGTCAACAGTTATTTAATGTCTCTTTCTCTTTTCCTCATTTATCGTCTGTCTCCCCACTAAAACAGAAGCTCCCAAGGGTAGTGGCCTGGCTTTAAGTTACACCAGACCACTACGGTTAAATTCCTGGGTCCACCCTTTACTGTGTGGCTCCAGGCAAGGGACTCAACCTCTCTGTGCCTCAGGTTCCTCATCTGTGAAGAGGGGATGATCCTACTTCCAACCTCACAGGAGACAGCTTGACACAGACACTGGTACCCAGGGAGCCATGGGTAACACACCCATTATTCCCCGGTCCACTTGAAGGATCTTTACGTCTTGAGGCTCCCCCAGCAAAAGGTTGGCAAACGGCCCTGGGGAGCAGGGGAGCAACAATGCTCCTGCTAGAGGGTGTCAGCCCCAGGCGGCTGCCCTCTGCCAGGGTCACTTACAGGGTGGCAGGAGCTGTGGGGTGTGGCTGGTGCTCAACAGAGGTCACAGAAGGAGCCCCAAATCCATGTTAAGGTGAAAGCACAACATGCCTGGGATGCTTTCCTGCTTGCGATGCAGCCACGAGCCTGGTTTTTCGGGAGGCTGCTTGCCACTCCCAGGGCAGCCCACTGTTTACTGCCCCCCGACTGACGGGCACTTAAGGCCTTCACTCCTCCTGTTTACAAAAGGAATTAGCACGTCCCCCACCCTCTTGTTTGTAGGGCCCTGTGTAACTGCACTAGTCCAACTGCTGAAAACATTCCTGGGAGGGGAACAGACTCACATGTCTCTCCAAAAAGGCTCTCAGAGCCAACTTTAAGAAGGCAGCCAGGGAGCTGAGGAGGGGCCAGAGTGGGCGGAAGCCCTACTTTCTACCAGGCTGCCTCTTGTGCCATGTGACTTTCTTTTACCAGGACTATTTATAGTGTGACTTTACTGTACTATTTTCCCTTGTTTAAGCAATGAGCCAGGCCTCCACACTCGGGGACAGCTCAGGGGTCCCCTGGGCCTTCCTCCTCCCTTGTTTGGTTAGCACAGGAACCAGTGCTGGGTGGGAAGACACCCACGGTCTCTGATCCAGGCCGTGCCGAAAAAGCCTCCAATCACCTTCTGCTTTCCTGGCAGACACTCAACCCAAATCGGTCCACGGGGCTGGGGCTGGAGTTCGCTGGGAGGCCAGTGGGACTGGGCTGAGCAGTCAGAGCTGTGATGCCCAGCATCAAGAGAATGAACATTCTGGGCAGGAGGCACGAGGGCTGACAGGCAGAAAGCCTCGGCACAAAGGGTGACAAAATGGGACAGGACCTCCTCACACACATCTTCTCCCCGCAGCCAAGCAGCTTGAAAATGGCGCCCCTCAAATAGCCCACAAGCGGAGCACCCTGGGTCTGTGCACCTCACCCCATGTTTTAGCCTTCATGGTCACTGAAAGTCACCGAGGAAGCTGGTGAAACCTGGCCCATCCTCAAGGCGCCTTGGCCTCCTGTTCTCTTCTGATAAGTATCAGCCAACATTCCTCACACCGTTCTTTACTTACTTGTTCATCAGAACCTCCAGAAGCAAAATACTCCCCCGTTCTTGAAAAGGCAACAGTGGTGGCCGGACCCTATCAGAACAAACAAAAAAGAACAAACACCAAAGGTCACTCTAGCTTCCAAACGCACAGGAAGAAAACCAGCTCAAGAACGAGAGCCACAGCAGGACAAGGGGCTGAGGGCTTCATTGAGCCCCTAGTCCTCCCCAAGCTTTGGCCAGAGGCACCTGTAGGAGCTCAGCCACGGGTGTCACTGCTGAGGCCTCTGTGCCCGAGCACGGCTGACAGCACAAAGGCTAGGCCACGGGGTGGTGGGTGGGCAGAGAGGAATAAGCAGGACAGTGCACGCTGGTGGCCCTGCTGGGTTGACATCACCGTTCCCGCTTCCCAAGGACGAGCTTGGAGGTCAGAGAGGTGCACTGACTCATCCCAGGCCAAGCATGGGCTCCAGAACTTGGTCCCCCTGGCCCAGGCTGTGCTCCTCCCCCACACCACCCTGTAGCTGACCAGAGAAGCATGCGGCCCCAAGGAGGAGCCAATGAGCAGAAGCAGGGTGCCGTCAGGGAGTCCAGGGGACACAGAGGCCCGAAGCAGGGCAGGAAGGAGGCTGGGGAGGGGATTATCAAAGGTGCCTGAGCAGAGGAGCAACAAGACGCATCCCCCCAGTGTGCATGTCACGTGCCTTACGTTAGGACCCTGGCGGGAGAAGTGCCTGCTCTGGCTTTCCCGGGGCAGAAGGTCTGCATGACTACGGGAAGGGTGATGATGCCAGACCAGGGCAGGCAACACTTGGAGGGCCCGTGACCACATCCAGACTTCAAAGAGCCGGGTGTGATCTCCCGGGAAAGATGGAAGGCTCCTTCCCACATGCGTGACATCCACCGCAGAAAGATGCATGGAGCAAGAGTCTGTTCACACAACACGGTGGACCACCAACTCCTCCTAGCCAAGCTGTCAGTCTGCCAGTACCTGGCATTCCTCAAGCAAAACCAGAAAAAAGAGCTTCTCTCCTAACTGATGACAGCACGGCCACTGTCAAGAAGAACACCTCCGTTCCTCCAGACCAGAGCAGGGAGCAGGAAGAGCCCCAGTTGCCCAAATGAGGTGCCTTCCGGCCATGGGCTGGTAGAAGCAATAGACGCATGGACAAGAGGAACACTGGGGCGCACCTTCCACTCGATGCCAGAAAAGACCAGACAAGTTATGGGCTAGAAAAGGGATCTGTGGTCATGGAACAAGAAGAGCTTCGGCCTGCCCATAAGGGACAGGCAGGCGGAAAGCCGCCCCCTGGGCCTAAGCGGCCTGGACAGGACGGAACATTCTTCCACTTCCAGAATCTACCCATGGCTCCTCCTCTCCTAGATGCTCATAATGAGGGTGGTGAGAAAGAAAGTTAAGTACAAGGCCAGTTAACACTGACCTGCACTAACCCACTTAATCTTCGGAAGATGGTTTGCATGCTGACCCCTTCTACAGGTGACATGTCCCAGAGGGGAGACCAAGGCCTGAAAGGTCAGAGACAAAGCCTCCCCCTGTGCCTCTCCCTGCCTTCTCTCACAGGCGGGGCTCCAAGGGCCCGGGGATCAGGGCAGCCGGGAGTCCTATGTGGCCATCCAATAGGACAAAGGAGATCCATCTGTCTGACTGGGAACAACGTCAATGACATCAGTGAGTGCAAAATGCCAGGTGCAAGGCATCACGGGCTGCCAGTGCAGGGCTGAGTGCAGGAGGGGGTGGGGGAGGGGGCAAGTCGAGCATCCCTCAGGTACTCTTCCAGGTGGACAACCCCCAAGGGTGAACAAGATGAACAGGACTTATGGGGTGGTGGGGCGAGGAAATTTCAGATGACTTTTACTTGATTCTTGGAAATCCTGAAATTTCCCAAACTTTGAATCCTTAAACAATGAGTATATGGCGTTGCTATGTTAATATAAAAACAAAACAACAAAACTATTTTCATTTTGAGAAAAAACAAAGAAAGAAGAGGGAAAAGAGAAGGAAACCAGGACATGGAGCATCAAAAGAGCGGGGCTCTTTGCCTGCCCAGAGCTCATGGAGGAACAGCCAGTTTCCAAGAAATCACAGCAACCAAGGAACCAAACAAATACCCATCAGTCTCCTTTCCTGCTGTCACTCAACCACCAGATGCCAAGCTGGGGACGAGATGCCGGAGGCCAAGCTGTGGCAGGGCCCCTGAAGAAGGCAGCCGGCAGCCCATGGCTTGGTGGGGGACTGGGACCAAAGAGCAGGTGCTAGAGCTTTCCCCGGAGTCCAAAAGCCCAGACACTCTGGGGATGGCGCCAGTAGCAGGCAAGCAATAAGGGGGCAGGGCCCGCAGTCCTCCCCAGCAGTGGCTGTTTACCTAGAGGATGGCTCGGCTCCTGCACCAGGTACCTGGTGTTCCCGGAGAGAGCACCCTTCCACAGAAGCTCTTGCCTGCGTGTCTGTGGCCCACGAAAGCAGCTCCGCCATGGGCCAGAGCCAGCAGGGACCGGAATGCAGACCAGGCTTCTCCACCACTGACAACCATCATCCCACCCCTTCCGGGGCCCAGACAACCCCGGCCCCCACTGACCTCACCAGACTCCCTGCTTCCTGCCCTCACTGGTGCTCCAGCTCCACCGGCCTGCTCACTGCTCCTCACCACAAGCTCCAGGGGGTCTCATCTTGCCTTCAGGATCTTTCGGCCACTTTCAGCATTGAGCTCTTAATTCAATTATTTCCAATCTTTCTCAGTTTTAAATAAACTCATTTAAGGCTACACATTTGCCTCTGATTTACTGCTTTAGATACATCCCCAAAGTTTCCAACATGCAATATCCTCACTGGCAGTCACCTCCAGACGTTTAGTTTCCACTGCGATTCTCTTTAACCCAGCAGTTATCTAGGAGTGCGTTCCACCTGCCAAACCACCAGGGCTTCGGAGGGTCCCTTTCATCACTGACAACTATCAGATGGGATCCACCTTCTTTGAGATCGTTCTGCCTTCAAGGTGGCTTACTCTTTTCAGTTAATTAGTCACTCTCAATGCACAATTCACCGGCTCACGGCAGGGATGTCACCAAGTTGTTTCTTCACCCAGGCAAGACCCAGGGGCCTCTGCAGTGACTTCTGAGCATGACTCTGAGCTCTTGGCTGAGATTTCAGCAGTGTGGTCTGACTGCCAGAGGTGCCCACCGGCCTGACATCCTGGTCCCCAACTGCCGGCAGGCCACCTGCTGGCAGGGGCCCTCACAGGTTCAACCAAATCCTTCCCTCCACTTCCAGATCTGGCCTGTCGGTCTTTGGTGAGATGATTCTGCCTGGTCGTCACAAGCGCGGGACGCAGCCTGGCCTCCCCTCCCATCCTACTCTCCCTCCGGACCCAGCCACACATGGCCCTCCGGCTTGGCTGGACGCACACCCAGTCACTTCATCATATACTGTCTCTGCTTTGACGACCTCCAGACCCACGGGACCCACAGAGTCTGCTTTCTTCACTCTCGCACGGAAAACATCAAGCATCAATCAAGAAAGTTAAAAAAAAAAAAAAAAAGCAAAACAAAGAAACCCCTGGTGTTTAGATCCCATAGCTCCTGGTGACTCTCCCTCCACAGCCCCTGCCACTTGTCCAGACCCCTCTGCTCTCCTCACCCCCTTCCACCTGACTCCCTGAGGCCCCTATGCACCTGAAACTTTGACCGCTGTGCCTACAACAGCTATGCTGGCAAAGACCCAGCCAGGTACCCCATCCACCACCACCTCACAAGGCTTTTGAAATGTTTTTCACTGGCTGCCAGCAAACAAATAGGAATGTCATACCACATGCCTTGAGTCAGAGGTAAAAGAGTGATCATCCAACAAAGATACGGAGACCAAGGAGGCCTGAGAAGCCCCTGGCATGGGAGCTCTGGTCTCTGAGGTGTCCAGGCTGCTCCTTCCACAAACCCCCACACCAGGGAGGCTCCTGCACTCGCTCAGCAGCACCTGCCGTGGGCTGATTCTTAGGTCTGAGTAGTGACGCTGTGGACAAGGAGTGGCCTCCGGGAGGAGCTGGGGTCCAGGAATGCTGAGGCTCTCTCCTGACCTTGGCCAAGGACACCTGCTCCCTCCCAATCCTCCATCCTGGGCTGCTGGCAGGGAACAGAAAGCCAGGCTGACCTCTTGGTTTACTCAGGTTGGAACAAATGAGCTGTTCTCCCTCTTGATGTCCTCTCACCTCTCCCAGGAGGTACCCAGCCACCCAAGCTGGGTCTGAGACTCCCAGGCATAAACGTAATTCTCCAAAATGAAATGACTACCCAGGCGCCGCAGAGCGCTGGAAGAACGGGGGGGGGGGGGAGCAACGTTCGGGGAGCTCCCTTCCACCTGGGGCCGCCGGAGGGTAGCCCTCGTGCTCCAGGCCACTCTACCACACTGCCATCTCTCCTCCTCGGCCCTGTGCCCCTTAATGGCACTTCCCCAGCCCCAGCCTTGGCTCTGGCACGGGGCAAGCTCCCAGCAACCCTGGTGGATCCTATACCCTGAGGCTGTGATTTCACAACAACCAAGCCTCAGAGCACAGCCCCAGGTACGGGCAGCAGCCCTGGTTTGGGGTTCTAGGCCCTCGAGCCATGCCCAGTGGTCCTCGTGCAGCTCAGTCACTCCGCAGCAACACGGACACCAACTGCCTAGCCAGAAACACCAGATTTAACTCCCTCCCACGTCCCGCCCACCATCCTCTCCCAAATAGCTCTGGGGACTTAAACCAAATGAGCATGGCTCAAGATTATGTTTCAGAAAATACAGAAAAATCAATCTGTATTTCTAGCACACTGCCCCCACACTTGCCACACAGAGCTATGGGGGCCTCGCTCAGGGCACAGGGCTTCGCACAACAGCCGTACTTGGTGGGAAAGCTCTTCCTTCTCTTGCTCTTCCCTGCTGCAAGGTGAGGGATGGGGGAGGGTGAGGCCCCTCTATGCTGACACCCCTAAGTCTCTACTGGATCCGGCAAGAAGCAGGGACTCCTCTTCCTCCCGCTTAACTGTCACCACTGTGGCTGATCCCCAGAGCAAGACCTTCCAGAGCCTCAGAGAGGGTAATGGCACCCCTGCCAGCCCAATGCCAAGATACCTGGCCTGTCCTCTAGGAGTCAGGCCCTAGAAAAAATGACCTGCTGGGCGGGACTAGTAAAGGGCACTGCCAACAGGCCTGTTGACCAAGGCACCAGCAGGCCATACCTACTCAGAGCAACTGGTCAGGACAAGTGCGTTTAGGCAGAGAGTCACTGCAGGGACAGATTTCAGGAACTGTGCGGCCAAAGAGAAGCCAAAGCAGGAGGATGTTCTGGGGGAGATGAGGACAAGCCTAGACAAAACAAAGAGCTAGATAAACCCTTGAAAGACTCCGTGGGTGATGGAAGGAAGGCAACGGGCACTCCCCAGCCCAGAGGGGGAAGGGCTGAGGACTATGGCCCGTGCCCATCAGAGGGGGCAGAGCCATCAGAGACCCCTACCATGGACTCCTTTTCCTACCAAAGACTGACTGCCCACCCAGGGTGCCAGGACCATCCCCATAACAGAAACGTTCAATGACCTTGTAAAGAGCTCTCACCTAGAGCAGCCCGGGATCTTTTCTAAAAGCTGAAGCGGAAAAGGACCAGTATCTGTGAAGACCTACCGTGCCTGGTGCTGGGGAATGTGGACACATGCTCTCCTGTTGTGAGGCAGATGCAGCAGTTCTTACAAATAAGGAAAAGCTTAAGGTCCTGCCCAATGTCCCAGGGCTTACCCTGGCAAAGCTGGAATGGTCTGACCTTGACACCCTTCTTCCCATCTGCAGCCTCCTGAGCTCAGACTTTTCGCCTGAACTAGGTGGGAGGGTACCCGTGGCTTCTCAAAACCAGAAACCAGGTGGGTACAAGCTGTTTGTTCCTGGAAATATTGGGGTGTTTCCTTAAAAAAGCTAGGCACCGTCCCCTGCCAGACAAGGCTGTGTGAACCCTCCCCCACTGAATGCATCCCAGCACTCGGCTCAGTCAAAGAAGCTCACGAAGGTGACCGGTGCAGGCTCTTTACCAGCTCAATCCACGGAGAGAGAAATTACTCTGGTGTTCTCAGGGGCAAAGGCAGAGGAAAGAGGGCAATGCGCCACATCCGAGCTGGCAGTGCCCTCCCTACTCTGTCCACCCTCCACCTGGGGTGGGCAGATCAGCTGGAGGTAGAGGGCCACCCTATCTCTCAGCCCCAACAGGCTCCTCAGCCTGTCCCACCACCCCCTGCCTTGGCAAAGTGTCAGTGTCTGCTCGGCTTGTGTGTGGAAACCTGCACCACCCGCTGCCTCCTCACTGCTGAAGGCCCTCACAACTTGAGCAGCAGAGCTGTTTGAGGGGCTGGGGCCCCCGGGCTGGCAAGAGCAAAGGGCCTGCCCGGCTCTCGGCCTGGCACCCGGTCGTCAATCAGTTGAAGACACTCACGTGGTAGAAGCTTCTGAAGAGCCACAAGGGCCCCAGCTACAGCCAAGGAACCATTCCTGGGGTACAGCCTAGATGGCATCGAGCTCCCGTGGGGCAGAAGCCTCTCTCAGCCCCTAGCTACATCCCCTGAATGACCCTTCGTAGCTCGGAGTCCCAAAGCTGGGACTGCAGGAGAGAAACACCAGAATCCTTGAGGCCCACAGTAAACTTATAATTGATGTCCACCCCTAGCCCCACAAAGGGGGCCAGCTTCACAAGGGCCAATGGGAGGTATGGCCGGTTGCGTGCTAGACAACCGCCAAACTGCTGCCATGGCCAGACTCCTGGGCTGATGAGCTGCCCTCAACACAGCACAGGAGACCCGGGCTACATTGGGTGATGCTGATCTTAGCTTGTCCTTGGCAAGTACCTCCAACCTGGTGCCCCTGTGCCTTTAGGAGTCCACTAAATGGCCTATCAGACTTCTAGCCTCAACCCAGATCAAAGAGTGTCAGCCCAACAGCACTGCCTCCCCTGAGCCTTCTTGTCCACTGACCCGCCCTCCCTGTTCCCCCAGAGGGGCTGGCTCAGGCCCTGCCCTCACACGGGACAGAGACACACTTCCCTGGCATACACTCAGAGCCCCCGCCTGGCCAAGGACTGCCTCCTGCTGGCATCAGCTCCCCGTGGCTGGCTCCTCTCGGTGGGCCTGACCCTCAGCCTGTGCTGTCCCTTCTCGAAGATGTGGAACTAGAAGCATGAGGGGATGTGTTCCACTTGGCAAAACAACTCAATAGCCTTCACTCCCACAGCTCTTCCCTCCCATGTGTGGGGACTGTCCCAAGGAGGGCCTCCAAGTCCAAACCAAAGTTTCACGGGGTTCCCTCCTGCTGGACCAGAATGAGGTCACGTCGCGGCAAGGCTGGGCCACAAGCAGCCACAAAGCCTGCTGGCCTCCTACACAGACCAGTGATCTCAAAACAAGAGTGAAATCACAACTCAACAGCTAAAAGCCGGAAGTGTGAGACAAGTAGGGTGGGAACCGCAGAGACCTGAATACCAGTCCCAGCTCTGCCACCCTAAGCTGCATGGGACCCCTACAATGCCAAACCTCTCCCTGGGCCTCGGCTGCCCACCCCCCCGGGATCCAAAGCACTTTCAAATCGGCCATCTTCACCCGTGGGACAGAATCTCTGGGCACCGAGGATCCACTCAGGAGCCCTGGGGCTGCTCAGTCCCATGTTGTGGGAAGTGGCTGGTGGCATCTGGGCCTGATGGGGCCCTTAGCCACCTCCTGGAACAGAACGTGAATGCTCCAGTCCCCAAAGAGCCCAGGTGCGCAGCTTCCTGGAAAGAAGGGCCAGGGAATGGACTTCACGAGCAGGGAGCCCAAGAGGACGACACACCCGCACGGGGCTGTGCGAACTGCTAGCTGTCCCTCAGCCTAGTTCCCGCATTCCCAGCTTCCACAGCAGACAAGCAACTGCAGTTTCACCAGGTCTCTGTGTCACTTCTCCAGGCTTCCTTTCTGTGCTTGATGCTGTGCCCGAACGTGCGACTGGCATTAGACACCACATTTTAGGGTTATCAGGCTGAGAGGCGAGTCAGCAGTTTAAAGAACCCCCCCATACCCACCCCCCACACACACACTCGTATGCACACGCACGCACACGCACACACACACACGCACACACACACACACATCCCAAAAGCCCTGGGTGATCACTCGGCATGCATGCGTTTGCATGATGTTTCTGGATATTGCCTTTTCTTTCTGTAGGGAGTCGGGGGACATAGCATCATTCATGTGGTTTTCAAATGTCCTCCTGGTTATAAGATCCCAAACTGGTTACGCGTGACTGAATAATTGACTTGCCAAAGGGCTAACAAGGTGGCTCCCCAACAAGCTTGCAACAAGAGCAGCAATCACCCAGCCCAGAGGCCAGCTATTACACCTAGATGGGCCGGCCACTAGGGGGATGGGACCGCTGGTCCTGCACTCCAAATGTGTGACAGGGAGGACAAGCGGTCACCATGGGCTGAGGGGAGCAGGCAGCCTCCCAAGTCCCCAGAGAGCACAAGGAAAGGCCCAGGCTCCCACCCCAAGCCATGGCCAATGGCCCCCACGTGCCCGACTCAGATGGCAGCGGAATCCAGAGCTGCCAGCCCAAGATACGTGAGCACAGCGGGGCCTCCCTCAGCCCTCGAGAGTTCATCCCTACTCGCCTCTCTGCCTGCCTCCTGCTCACAGGTGGAGAAGGGGATGAACTCTCGGCACCCCTGGCCCCACTTGGGTATGGCAGTTATGTCCTGACAGGAGAAACTCCAATGACCGCTCTGCTCAGCCACATTTCCTGATGGGGCGGTGCGAGAGGCCGGCACCCAAGCTAGCGGCTAGGGAGGGCTACAAGCAACCCACCTCCCCACGGCCAGCCCACGGGGGCTGGTGCTGGTCGCTGCCCACCCAGGGAGTCCCGGCCACCGGCCGCACTGGCAAAAATCACTCAGAGAGAAGGGCTCTGCTCCCTTGCTTCAATTCCAGGAATTTGCAAACACACACAAACAGGAAGATGTCCCCCTTAGCACCTGCCTCTGAGAGACACCTGTGGTTTCTGTCTCCAAAGGCACCGATGTCTGTAGAACCCCCAAGAGACCCCGATTCTGGGCAGGGGTTCCAGGGCTCTACTCAACTGTTGGACCAAGGGACACCTGAGGTCACTGTGGGACAGATTCCATGCAGCCCCCTGTGCAAAGTGTGCCGACCATGTCCAGATGCCTCCCCTCCCACCCCCACCCAAGTTAACCCCTGCACTCCCTACTCAGCTGCAGCACCAGGCCCAGTACTTCTGCCAGAGGTCACAGGTCCTGTGAGGGGCAAACCTGTTTCTGCATCTCACCCCACTGCCCAGGCTGTGAGGGGACCACAGAAACCATCCCCAGCAGGCTCCAAGGCAAGAGCCACCTCCGGTGAACCTCAGCCCCACATGGGCCTCGAGACGGCACCTCTACCTCCCTCCACACCACAGCGCCAGGCTGATGCCCTCACCTGATGCCCGTGGAGCGTGTAGAGCAGCCGGCCCTCCATGAGGTCCAGAATCTTCAAGGTCGAGTCGCTGGAGGCCGTGAGCAGGTAGTTTCCGGACGGGTGAAAGGACAGGGCATTCACTGCTGCGCTGTGCACTGGGGGAGGGGACATCAGTCAGGCACTGGCTGGGAGGCCCAGGGGTGCAGCTGGGGCCTGAAGACGGGCAATCGGGGCCAACCGTGGCTCGGCACAGGGCTAGACCAGGGCGGCCACAGCTCCAATGACGTGGGGAGCCCCACGACCAAAGAACAGAAGCGGACTCGTCCAGAGCTGAGGACGGGCAGCAGGAGACACAGGGCAGGCGGGAGCCCACGTGACAAGGCCAGAGGGATGGGGCGATTCCTCTTGCTCTCCCGCCACACAGAACAGTCGAGCTGGAGAACGGAGTGCTCAAACATAACACCCAATCTGTCTCTCATACCGCTACTTAGGGGAAACCGAACAGAAAAGACAATCGCTGAGGTGCCAGTATGATGCCCCTGCCCAACAAGAGCAGGCGTGTGGGGCAGGCGGGCAGAGCTAAGACACACGCTCAGGAGCCAGTCGGGCCTGGGTTCCAATCCCAGCCTCCCCACTGTTCCTCACCTTAGGACCCTGAGTAAGCACCCTGACACGCGCACCCGTTTCTCCTGCTGTATCATGGCACCCACGTGTTGGGGTGCGGGGCAGGGGGGGAGCCTGCCTGTGAGGCCTCTGTATAGAGGGAGCCCTCCGATGGGCCTCTCTGCTGCCCCGGGTGTCACACGCAGCTCCCAGGTCCTGCCGCTTTACCCACACAACAGCTCAACCTCATCTGTGACTTTCTTTTCCCCAGTGGCCTGGCCTGAGCCCGTCCATCCTGGTGACCCTCACTCTGCAAGATCCGACCACCCCAGCCCTGTCAGCTTCCCAGCTGCTCCACACGGACCTGGGAGACTCTTGCCCACCTCCACCCCTGACCTTGAAGCTCACTGCTCAGTCACCTCCTCAGGGAAGCCTCCTGACCTCATTGGGGCCACCCCCTTGAATTGTCCCCCTAAAGCACCCTAAGTCTCTGGTGGACGTACTCTTCACTGCAGTGTTTTACGTTTCTGTGTAGATCTCTGACTCATGCCCGGGTCCCCCATGAGACTGTGTGCTCCGTCAGGCAGGGGCTGTGTCGGGTCCTTGCCTCCTGGCTCAGTGCCTGACACTGAGCAGGACTCAGAAAGTGGCTGGTGAGTAGGTGAGTTGGACCCAGGCAGGCCACATGGGGACAACAACGTGAGGACCAGCTGCATCACAGCTTCTGAAAGCAGCTACTGAAGAAGACTTCGGTGCCTTCATCCCCACCACCACAGGCCAGGTAGGGGACACCAGTGGGGGTCACATAACCGGGGCCCGCTGAATCAGAACTGCTACAAACAGAAAGACAAATTCTAAAACCAACCCCTCACCCTGGTCCTGTGGGTCTGCAAGAACCACTGCGAGGCCAGAAATACATCCACCACAGGTTGGCCTTCCACAGAGCCCACAGGGGTACAGGGAGCCCCTCAGAAACCAGCCCAGCTGATGGGCTGATACGGCTGGGGAGTGTGGGTACATGTCCCCAAGCACACTTAGGGGAGACAGCCAGGGCTTTACATAACACGGTATTTATGTCTGAGCATTCTCTAAGCACCACAGCTCCAGGAACCAGACTGCAGGGGGGCTGATGGGGTCTCCACAGAGGCAGAACACAGCTCCCTCAGCCCGTTGCACTCCCCCGACTCGAGGCCATGGGGGGTGGGGGAGGTCAGCATCCTCAGTGTTTACCAAGACTTGGGGCATGGAGAGCCAAAGAATATGGCCACGGCTGACCCAACAGGAACTGAACAGGCAGGAGCCAGCCACAAGCAGTGGCAGAAACAACGTTCGTAATGCAGAGTGTGACTGCCACTACCCACAGGTGGAAGGGACACACACATGCAAAGGGAAGTGGACAGAAGCTCCAGACAGACCTTCTATAGAGGCCCCTGGGGAGGACAGGAATACGGGACTTCTCATTTTTACTCTGCATACTTCCAGATTTTTTTTTTTTTTAAAGATTTTATTTATTTATTTGAGAGAGAGAGAATGAGAGAGAGCACGAGAGGGAAGAGGGTCAGAGGGAGAAGCAGGCTCCCCGCCGAACAGGGAGCCCGATACGGGACTCAATCCCGGGACTCCAGGATCATGACCTGAGCCGAAGGCAGTCGCTTAACCAACTGAGCCACCCAGGCGCCCCCAGATTTTTTTTTTAACCATCAAAATACAGCCACTGTGATTATACAACTGGGTGAATGATAAAAAGTGAATCCTTCCCTCCCCGCAAAAGAGTGAGTGGTGTCCAGGGAGGCAGGAGCCCAGTCTGGCTCGGCATCCTCCCGCCGGCCCTTCAGGCCGTGAGTCTACAGGCGAAGAGCTAAGTGCCCTGCACTCCCGAGGGGCCCACGATGCTCGCCAGATTGCTGGTTCACACTGGCAGTGAAGTGGGGTGGGAGGAGGGGAGCCCTGCCACCCTCAACCCCACAGCAGGACAGCTCTGAGAGGTGGCCTGCCCTGCATCTATCTCCCCAGGCCCCATCTCCCTTTGGGCCTCTTCAAATGCTGCCCCTGGCGCATCTACTTCCCTGAGCCTGGAGAAGGGCACGCTATTCTCATTTCTGCAGCCCTGGGCAGCCTGGCCTGGAATGAACGCCACCCCGCCCCACCTGAGACAAAGCTGGCAGAGGTGCAGCCGGGCCAGGAGGGTGGATCAGGGAGGGCCCAGGGCTTCCCAGCAGCACCAGGGCAGCGGGGGCAGGATGTGGATGGCACGCCAGGGCCTCCCAGCTGGGCAAATCTACCCCAGGGAGGGAATCTCCCCCAGAGGAAGGGCAACCAAAAGCCCTGCTCTGCTCTAAATGGCAGGAATATCAAAGGCCTCCTCGCTGGGGTGGAAACATCTGGAACCATTTACTCCAGAAGTGGGCTCAGCTTGGGGGACCAGGATGTATTAGACACCAGGACCCACTGCCGAATTCCCCTCCTCATTCTCCTGCCTCAACCACCAGCCCCGCCGGCCTGGGGCAGCCTCTCTGGCTCTATAGACATGGGAGACATATTCTAGGGAGGCCTCATTCTAAGAATCACCCCTGCACGCCAGTCCCCCAGGGAGGCTCCCACCATAAAGTCCTGAGCAGTGACTGTCCAGGAACAATCCACTTCTCATCAAGCCCAAAACCTGCTAGGCCCTCTTCTTGCTTCCATGGCAGTGATGGGTGACAACTGACGGCACAGTGCCCCAGAGAAGAGATTCCAACTCATGGTCAGAGATATACCAACATCAAGATCCTACAGGTCACCAGGAGCCCAGAGAAGGTGGGACCGAGGCCACTGCAGACCCTGCCCCTAGGCACTGGGAACTGGCCATAGCTTATGGGTAGCATGTGGCCTAAGGAGAGTCCTAGGTACCCACAATCCACTCTGCCCACACAGCACTGCATGTACAAGCCCTCAGCAAACCTGGCCCACTGCCCAGTGGGCTCCAAACTGACCAAGGGGCCCGGAGAAGTCCCAGGTACCCAAGTCGGAGGTAGCTTTCTAAGGCAGGCCACACGAGGCCAAGCCCCAGCCCCAGCCCACCACCATCACAAAGGGCTCAGCGCACTTCACCTGGGGGGGGGGGGGCTTCTCATAACATGCAACTGGCCTCCCCAGTGACTTCGGGTTCACAAGGGACTACGGATTCGTACAATGACGGTGCTCTGTACCAGCAGGGAAGGATGCTCAAAATCCTGCTCCCTGTGAATGTCACACCAATGCCCACTTAGGGATGGTGGGAAAGGGCCAGTGAGCTGGCCAGATCATGTGGGACAGTGCACTGCCCTCCTGACCAACTCTTTTGTTCTCAAAACATGAAACAAAGGATATAGGCCTGCCCCACCAACGGACTGCACGGCTGCCTGAAAATCCTCTGTGACCAGATCTGGGGTATGGCGGAGGGGTGTGTTAAGAACCAGGGGACAAAGAACCTGGGACTCTCAGCTCTAACTAGAATTTCTGGAGAGGGCCGAACCAAACCCTCCCGGGGCCCTCAGGAAGCAAATGGCTAGAATCAACATGGTGTAAGGAAGCCAGCGTGGAGTGGCGGACAGAACGCCACACTCAGAGGCCTTCCATCGGAGACTCAGATTCCCAGCTTCCCAGCTGTGGGACCATGGACAAGCCTCAAACTGCCCATCTGTGAAATGGGGAGTAGCCCTGTCCTGCTAGCCCCCACCGGGGCCTGTCACTGGATAGCAGACCTGCACGTGCCTGTGAGCCGCAAACTGCACTATGGGTTCCGGATGGGGGTTGCTGCTCAGATGTCTGAACAGCCTTCATGTGGGCTCGGAGCATATGGAGCCTAACCCACCTCCGTGGGGCCCGGCACTCCCAGGGATCTGGCAGCCCCACCGTCTCCTTGCTGAATTGGGAAACCAGAACTGCTCCCCACAGGGACAGGTCAGAGCCAAGAAACTCCTTGCCCGAGACAGATGATGCCAGCTTAACTCCCAACAACCCAGCATGGAACAGGAAGTGTCCTCTGTGATGCGCAACCACGGGGCAGCCGGACACAGGCAGGCTGGGGTTGCTGACCACACAGTATCAGGAGTCAAAGGGTCTCAGAAAAGCCCAACAAACTCATGTGCCTCAAGCCCACGCAGGAGTGCCTGGTACTCATTCAGAGTCACCAAGGGAGACACTAGATGTCATGGTATTCTTAAAAAGTTTCCTCTGGGTTTCCCAGGGGCCAGGGACCGAAAACAGCTCAGGCATCTGCTACCAGAGTGCCAGGAGTCATTTTCGGGGAATCAACCTCCAAACAGATGCCCCGGCACCTCTGAGGATGAGGGAGCAGCTGCTACTAAGGGGGTAGGGGGAGCCTCTTGGGTAGAAGGTTTGGCCATGGAGCTCTTTGGGGAAGCCGCTAGACCTGAGCAGAACTGGCCAGGTCCCTCAAGCAGCATAAAGGGTGAGGGGTATGTCCCCCAGCCAATGTGCTCAGATCTACTGGGCTCTCCTTGAGCCCCAGAGGGTAAGCTTAGAGGCAGTGGGATGAGTCTGCTGCCCCGTGCGCCATGCATTGGGCAGGGAGCTGAGGAAACCCGATTATTTACGAGGTACTCCAAGCCACCCAAGGCGTCTGATCTATATTAGGGTGGCTTAGGAATAAGACACTGGGTGGCTCTGTCATAGGAGCAAAGGACAAGCAAAAACACACTGAAATCTCTCTGCAGAAGCTGTCAGCCTCATGCACCCGGGTCCCCTCAGGACTTGGCTCCTGATGCCACCTGAGCCCTCCCACCACCTCCCCGGCCCTGCCAGTCACTGACATCCCATGCCCGCCCACCACAAAGCCTGCCCCCTCAAGAACTCCAGGGACCTCTCTCCAGCACCCGCCACCCTCCTCGACTGCCCTACATCACTCCCCCTCCTGACCACCTCTTCAGGAGACGTTGCATTCCTTCATGCCCCTGGCTCTGCCCCATCAGCCCTCCCATGGGCTCCCACCCCTCATTCTGGCTGCTTTGTGAACTTTTCCCTCTATGGCCCCTTAATCACAGGGACCCAGGATATGGCCCCAGCCCTTCTCAAGCTGCCAATTCCTGGGCCCAGGTGGCCACTCAACCCACAGCATCACCTCCTAACTCTATTCAATCTCCAAAGCCTATCTCCCTGGGCCCGATCCCTGCCCCACTCGGATGCCCAGCCCTCACTCAGACACCGGGTGCAAGCAGCCCACCCACCAGTCACCCAGACACACCAGCTTCCCACCCATGTAGGCTCTCAGCACTGCTGTCCTCTCAGACAGACCTTCGCTCCTCGAGGAATGGGACCAGTCCCAGCACGGCCAGCCAGGCTGCAACTTTGGGACCATGGGCCAGAGCATAGCATTCAAGGTCCTCCCCAATGGGTACCTGCTGGTGCACCCTACAAACACCAGACCCACGCTCCTGATCCATCAGAAGTGAGGCTGGACCCTCCCAAGGTCACCTAGAGATCCTCTCCCCTCAGTGTCAAATCTTATGTGGCAAAAAGAAATAATAATAAAAAATTAAAATCTTATGTGGTACAAACCACATTTCCAGTACTCACTTGAACTCCCCCAACAGATCTTCCCAAACCCCATAAGGTACTATGACCACCCCCTTTACAGATGGGAAGCAGCCTATACTCCTAAGCTGCACTGCCTCATCACCTTCCCTTCCCATCTCTCCTGACCCCACACTCAGCGGCGCCTTCCCGCCCAGCACTCCTCCACACCTGCCAACCTTCCCCCAGTCAATCGTGCAGATGTGCCCGATCTCCAACCCAGGCCTGGCCCAGAGCAGAAGAGAGGCCTCTAAAGCCTGAAGGAGGGGAAGGAGGGGTGTGGTCTCCAAGTAGAGGGTAGACCCCATAGCTGCTCTGTTCTAGAAGCTCTGTCTGAAACAGCAGCTGCAACAAACCCCAGGGCTCTCTGTTGAGGAAGGTACCAGTTATGCGGCTAGCCCCTGCCACCTGGTGGTGGTATAGGGCAATGCAGGCCAGACTCCCTACTCCAGGATGTCCAGGACCCAGACTTGGCACCACGGGCATCATGAACACAGTACCTGGCTCCTGCACTCCCTAAGCTCTTGGCACAGACCAACTCGTTACCGTCCCAACACCATCTGTGAGGGAAGCGCTATCATTGTCCCAGGGGGCCCAGAGGAGTCAAGTGACCTGCCCAACATCACGCAACTAGGAATGCTGAGGCTGGCTGCGGAGCCCACCCTCCACCGTGTGCTTTTTAAGACCAGGAGCCTCTCCCTCTTCTTGGGAGATCTGCTCGCCTCGGTTACCTCAACATCTGAGAGTCAGCTAAGAAGGGCTCACAGGGGGTGGGAAGGAGAGCTCTGAACCCAAGTCCTACCCCTTTGTCCAGACACATCCTTCCCATCTTCCCATTTTCAGGTGCGAATTCTGGAACGGAGCCCATGGACGTTAAACTTAGTCCCAAGTCAACGACCACAGCTCCTCAAACAACTCCAGCTCTACCCCTCTCCGGTCTCAGCCCCAGGCCCACAGGCCCGCCCACCATTTTGCCCCCTGCACAACTCCTAGTTCCTCCTGTGGCCCCTCGCCAGCTTCCTTCCCTGGCCCCATCCCCACCACGGAGGTGGCTCATGGCCCTGCCCAGTCACACCGGCTCTCAAGACAGTTCCATACTCTAGTACCCTCCGCAAGCTCATCCTAATCACACCCAAGTCCGTCCCTACCCCACCTCCCAGCTGGAACCTGACACAGCCCATGCTGACTGCCTGCTGCTCTGCCTTCCGAGGGCTACCATTAGATCAGGGGACACAGCCCCAGGGCTGCCTCCTGAGCCTGGTCTCTAGCCTAAGTTGACCCTCCGTATGGTTCTTGGCTCCATATCCATGGAGGACACCATGAAGCCAGAGGTGGCCAAGGTGCCACGAACACTGACTTCTTTTGACAGACCTGCCCCCTTCGCCTTAGCTCTAGAGGCAAGTAGCACGGGCAGCCCCTGAGAAGCGGCCCTTGAGCAGAGCCCTGGCCAGAGATCCACTGCGAGCTCCTTGTCTCGCCCTGCAGTGTGCATGAGACTCTGCCAGCTCAGGAGCAGGCACACAAGGCTTGGTGGGTGCCAGGTAGTGCCAGGATCCACCTTCAGGCCAGTGTTCCGACCCAGCACGGCCACAACACAGACTACCGGCCGCTGAAGATCCCAATAGGCCCAGGACTTCTCCCCACTGACCGGGGCCGTCCTCAGGCCCGCTTCAGCACCACGGCAACGAGCCGGCCACCTGCTCCACCGCGGCCGCTCTCGGACACTCACGCTGATAGTGCTGCAAGAGCCGGTGCGTCCGCACATCCCACACCTTCACCGTGTTGTCCATGCTGGCGGCTGCAATGCACGTGCCGCTGGGGTGGAAGTCCACGAAGGTGACAAAGCTGGAAAGACAGGGGCCACCACACGCTATAGGAGGACCGTCCTGGCTCAGAACAGACCCCCAAACATCCAGCCTTTTCCAACATCCCTGCATGTCTGCTCAGGCTGTTCCCCAAACCCAGAAGACCTCCCTCCTGCCCCGCTTCTTTACCAGGTGGCCAACGGATAGCAAGGAGAGGGTGCGAACAGTGGCTAGCAGTGACCAGACGTGGACGCACCAGCGAGCAAATCCCAGCAGCCACTTCTACATACAAGTAGAGAAAGTGGTCTTCAGCCCAAAGGTCAGCCGACAGCTCAGGGTGTTTAGAGTCAGAGCCGGGGCCCTCATCAAAGCAGGGCCCTCATCAAAGCCCCCTGCCCGATGAGGCCCAGCCCCAAAGGGCCAGCAGGGCCCCAAGGCCACTGGTTGACTATCTCCAGGAGACAGGCCAAGGGCCCCCAATATCCCCACACGTGACATCCAGGCTGGCATCATGGCCGGCTCTCAGGAGGAGCCTTTCCCTGGGGCTCCCAGCCTACCTGTGGAGGGCAGAAGCTGGGGTTCATTGAGAAGACCAGAACAGGTGAGGCCCTACGCCAATGCAGGCTCCTCCCTCTCCTGATGATGTGGCACAACATGAACCACCACCAAGAACTTACAAGAACCTGACAAGCCTTTCATTTATAAACCCATCACTGTAGGTAACATACTAACATGATTTTGGGAGGTCCAGAGTCACCTTCTTTCAGAGAGACAAGTCACAATTCTGAGAACTGGGAAGTGAAAGGAAAAGAGAGGCCCCAAGAATCACATGCCTTAAAGTTAAGCACCCGTTATTTGTGGGGATGGGGATGAGATGAACCTCCCACTCACAGAGGAAAAAATTCAGAGACAGAGAAAAGCAGAGACGCGGCCCCACATAAGGCTACTGGGGCCCCTTCATGCCTAGGTCCATGCTTTTCTTGAGCACCTGCAGGAGGACAGGGTCCAGTGACTTACCCGCCATGCTCACAGTAAGAGTGGACACACTCCCGGCTCGTCTTGTCCCATAGCTTGACAGTCTTGTCATCGCTGGCAGACACGATGAGCCGCCCATCAGGGGAGAACCTGAACCAGGCAGGGCACAAGTCACACCACCGTAGGCACTGCACAGTGTCCTCCACAGCCACCTTCCCGCACTGCCCACCACCAGACCCCAGAACCAGCCAAAGCGTGAACGCTGCTCTGACCCTGAGTGATCCCGGGCAAGCAGCTTTCCCTCTGTGAGATGGGTAAGAATGGTACCTACACTCGTGCTGAGCAGGGAGCAGCGCCGCACGCACAAGGCCCCCAGTGCTGCACGCGGCATGGGGCAAAGGGCATGCTGACTGCTGGGGCCATCAGCACGATGGCGGCCCGAAGCCACCATCGGCATCGTTATCCTGTTCCCAGGTCCCCCAAGTCCACACTTGACTCTGAGAACCACCTACCGACAAAAATGTGTGGAGGTCCTGGGGACCCACCACCAAAGGCTGGTGTAGGCTTCACACTGGTTTGCTGGCCTGGCCCCTCCTATTGTCAGGAGCCCGACGGTGAGGCCTCTCTGAGCAATCAGGGACCTCCCAGGACACAGGTGCCCTGGAGAACAAGTAACTCGCACGGGGTCCCCAGAAGAACACCATAATAGTCCCCAACTTCTGACTCCCATGGTTTCCCAGCATCCCCAGACCTCCCAACCTCTTCCTCTGGAGCACGGAGATCTCTGTCGAAAGGATCAGAATAGCTCAAAGTAGGCACATTTGTGTCCGCAATCCCTGGACCCTGAAAGGTCCTGTGGGTCACCTGGCGCCTATCCCCACAGCACTGCCCCCCGCCGCCACAGCAAAGGGAGAGCCAGCCTCCAGACCAGCCTCCTCAGAACCTTCAACATCCACCCAGCAGCTCAAGCAAAACCAACTTCTGAGAGGCAGACTCAGCTTCAAAACCCAGCAAGCGCCCAGGGGCAAGATACTGCGCTGTTCTGAGCCTCGGTGTCCTCATCTGTAAAATGGGAATGACACCGCCTAGCCTGCAGGCTTGCCGTGAAAAGAAATTGTAGAGTGCTACGAGCGACATCATCTTGTCGCTATTGCTCCTAAACAGCCCCCGCTGGCTTGCTTCCGGCCGCATTACCGGATGTCAGGGGCTCAATCATGGCTGGCAATGAATTCACTTACTTGTCATGTGTGAGCTAGAAGCTCCTCAGCAATTTACAACGTGACAACTTCTTTGCTCCCATTTCACCGATAAGGAAGCTGAGGCTCAGGAATATGAAAGAGTAGCTAGTTCGCCCAAGGTCACGCTACTGGCGCCTGGCAGCGCCTCGGTGCCCCTCAAGCCCCAGGTCCCTCCAAGGGTCCAGGGGCAGGACATGGCTGATGCTCACCTGGCGCAGCGGACCCAGTTGATGTGCTGGCTCAGCGAGAACAGGAATTTCTGGCGATGAGTTGACCACACCTTAACTGTTTTGTCGTCGGAGGCCGTCACAAAAGACTGGCCGTCACTGCAGAAGTGGACACTCCTCACTGTGGCCGTGTGTGCACGAAACACGGTAGACTCGCCTTTGCTGCGAGGATGGGTATTCCGATTCAGGAGACCCATAACGGTGACAGGAGGGCCCGTGAGCACATCAACGCTCTCCCGACCCCTCAGGGGCCCCTCCTGATGTCAGTGCAGGCCCGCCACCCCAGCCCCCCACAAGGAAGACCAGAACCACCACCCACCCTGCCCATGTGTGAGCAGCATCAGATGGGAGCCCTTCCAGGATGGCTGCCCAGAATCCCTCTCCCAACCCTAAGGGGAGGGCTCAGCTTCTGACAGCATCTCTTCAGAAGTAGGGCAGATGCCCCACCATGACAAGTCCAGAGCCAGGATGGGGACTGGAGAGGGGACAGCTCTGGCACCAGGACCCCAGGCTCAGACAAGCCCTTCCAAGTCTGTAACTCACACATTGGGTATCCAGATCCGGACAGTCTTGTCTCGGGAGCCTGAGGCCAGCAGGTGTCCCGAAGGGGAGAAGTTCACACAGGTGACAGCATCCTTGTGGCCCGCAAAGCGGTAGGCGCGTGACTGGGGCTTCATGTGCCAGACCATGAGGCATGAGTCCATGGAGCCACTGGCTGAGAAAGTAGGGACGCTGTGACCCTCAACTCTAGTGGGCCTTGAGCCTCCAGCAGGATGATGGGGTAAGGGGACAGGAGAAAGACCACATTTCCAGCAACTGCTGAGCTGGGGTTTGGAGCATCGATGGGCTGTCAGCTCTCCAAGCAGCAGGCCCACAAGGGAGCCAGACCAAGAGATGCCCTTCACATGCCAGGCCTGGGCTGCAACCCAGCGGGCCTCTGAGAAAAGTCATCCCCCATGGGGTTCCCCACAGTCACACCCTAAGGGCACTAGAGAGCAAGTCCTCCCAGCCCAACCCAATGGGCCTTTTACCACTGAGAGGGACCAAGTCAATCAGAAACCTAGAGATCCCCAAGACAGATCAAATGACTTCAGTTTGCTCTTTATCTACAGTGACCAGTAGTCTCTGGCAGGGGACCTTGACTATGGGATGAAGGGAGAGCCTTGTCCCTAGAAACAAGAAAGCGGCAGTCATGACAGCTGTGTAGGAACCCCCAAGCAACCAAGGAGCAGGGGTACTCAGCTTTGCTCTTTGCCCTTCTCACTGGATGCTCCCATACTGCTGTGGACAACAGAATCAAGGACCCAAGGAAAAGGAGCCATTGTTTAGGGCCATTCTACCAGCCAGACCCAAGAGATGGCTGGGGTACATGCAGTGAAAAGCCCAGACCCTGAGTCCACGCTCCAAGGCTCCGTGCCCTTGGCAAGGCCCCCAAACTCTCTGAGTCTCACACTCTGCGTGTAGAATGCAGTTCACAAAACCCAGCACACAGACAGCTGGCCAGCTGAAGCAAGATGCAGGGCTAGACAAAGCACCTGGGTCCTCACAGTGCCCTACTCCCCCCACACCACACCTGCCAGCTAGAGACTCCGCCTTCTCAGCTCATAACCTAGTGCCGAGGAAAAGATGCCTTTTCTTACCCAGCTGCTTTGTGTTGAGACTGAAGTCCACACAGGTAACTGCATCTCGGTGGCCCTTAAAATGCCTCTCCAGCGAGGGGTCCTCCTGCAGGAGAGCCAGGGTCAAATGTGCGAAATTTGAATGAAGAAGGGGCTTTCCCAGGGCCAAGACTCTTCCTAAAACAGCCAGGACGGTTTCAAAATGCTCAAGGCATGATCTTGTATATAGAAAATCCTAAGGAATTCGCTAAAAAGCTATTAGAGCTAATAAACCAGTTAAGCAAGGTTGCAAGATCAATATATAAAAATCTATTGTAGGACGCCCGGGTGGCTCAGATGGCTGAGCATCTGCCTTCGGTTCAGGTCATGATCTCCAGGTCCTGGGATCAAGGCCCATGTTGGGCTCCCTGCTCAGCTGGGAGTCTGCTTCTCCCTCTCCTTGCCTCTTCCCCTCTCAAGTGAATAAATAAAATCTTAAAAAATTTTTTAAAAATCTATTGTACTTCTGCATACCAGCAATGCACAATCTGAAGAATGATAACAATTCCATTTATGACACATGAAAAAGAATAAATACTTAGAAGTAATTCAACAAGAGGGGCGCCTGGCTGGCTCAGTCAGTAGAGCGTGCAACTCTTGATCTCCGGCTTGTGAGTTTGAGCCTCACATTGGGTGTAGAGGTTACTTAAAAATAAAATCTTTTGGGGGCGCCTGTGTGGCTCAGATGGTTAAGCATCTGCCTTTGGCTCAGGTCATGATCCCAGGGTCCTGGGATCCAGCCCCACATTGGGCTCCTTGCTTCGCAGGAAGCCTGCTTCTCCCTCTCCCACTCCCCCTGCTTGTGTTCCTGCTCTCGCTGTGTCTCTGTCAAATAAATAAATAAAATCTTTTAAAAAAAAGAATCAGAGAAAATGGGGGCCTTTCGGCAACCCCCATTTCGGGAATCAGATTCTGAACCCTCAATCTCACTGTAGACTGGCCAATGAACCCAAAGGTCAGCCTGGACAGCCCCAAGGGGCAGTGCCACCATCTCTACTGCGCCCAACATCATCAAGGAAGCAGTAGCTCAGGACACTGCTAGGAAGACATGGAGAAAATATTCCAGACTCTTTCCACACAACAGCAGCTGTCTTAGCACTTGAAGAGTTATAGCCCTGCCATGCAAACATCTCCCCCTGCCCCAAATATCAGAAACCTCAAAGAAGGATTTTGGGCACACCGGGGAGCCCAGGAAAACCTCCTCTTGGGAAAAAAAAATGTCCTTGGGGCAGAGTAAGACCATTGCCACCCCACAGAGTTGTAACCAGAACAAAGGCCCCCATGGCCCTGTGGCCAGCTCCACCCCCAACACACCTGCCTGAGTCCCCCTTTCAAGAAGAAAGGGAGTGGCAGCTGGGAGTGGGGGAGGGCAACAGAGCAGCAACTGCTTCACCTGAACCTCTTGGGAGAACAAGATAATGCCCACCTCTAGGCTCAATGGGCAGAGGTAAGTTCAGTTCCAGTTCTGACCAGGGGACCCCGAAACCTCCCAACATCCTTCCCACCTCCTCATCCCACCCGGCTCTGTGGTTCCTCGGTGGCTGCACCCTAAGGTGGTTTATATATGGAAGGAAGTGGGGAGGGACTTGTGGGGAGGGGCTTATGGGAAGGGCTAGATTAGGGGTCAAAAAGCCTGGATCCTAAGTCTGGGCCCTCTGCTCAAGTCCCCACATGCCAACAGGCACCACCCGGTCTTCCTGACTCTCAACCCAGCCCAAAGGCCAGACATGTTTAAACAATCTCTCAAAAAGAGGGGTTTTGGAGTGCTTCCCTCTGGAGGAAAATGGGACTCAGGGTGCCCGGCCCAGATCACACTGCAGACCTGGGCTGTCCCGTCCGAGCACGGTGTTCGCTCAACAAGCCCCTACCCAGCCACCCACTGCTCAGGATGGTGAGACTGAGGCCCGGAGCTGGCCTCCTGCCCGACCTCCTGTCGAAACGTACTAGTACTAGTGTCTCCTCCACTAGGATGCAAATCCAGGGAGCGGGGACTCATTGGTCCGCCGCGGTAGTCCGCAAAGGGTCTGGCACTCAGGAGGTGCTCACTACGTGTCCCGACCCAGAGCCCCCTGCACAGACAGTAAACAGGCTGGAGAAGACTGGCTCGGGACCCGGCATCCCACTCGCCCCCTAGCAGCCATCGCCTCGGCTAGGTACCCACAGTCCCAGCGGGGAGACTAAGGCCGGGCAACCACCGCCGGCAGGAACTTACTGGCCAAGGTGCCGCCATGGCGGGCCCGGGGCGCCCAAGGCGCCGGAGAAGGCAGCGTCGGCCGTTGCGGCCCGTTCAGTTTCCGCGCCCCCAACCGCCGCCAATAGCAACGCGGGTCGCGTCGCCACGCCCCGCTCACGACAATTAAAGGAGACGCAGCACCTCCTCTTTTTGTCCCCCGGCCGGAAGCAGAGCCGTGTGGCCGGTTCTACGGCCTCCGCGCGCAGCTCCGCCAGACCAGCAGCCCACGGGTGCCGCCGCCAAAGTTCTCCGTCCACTGTCACTAATCCCCTAAGAAATTACAAAACCCAGGATGAGGGGTTCACTGCATCGGCCTCGTAGCTCGGTTTACCACACGACGAGCACAGCCTTCTGGGAAATGCAGTTTCAAGACGGCCGGCACCTTGTGCCTGCAGAAAAGTGGAACTACTTTCCCCGAGATACCGTGAGGGCGGGCCGTGATTAACCACCCGTAGGAAAGGCCTCAAGGATCCCGGAAGTGGAGGACACGTGGGTCGTTGTATTTGTGTCCTCTTAAAGGGCCCTTGAAACCCGGTGTTCGCTCAATACCTTAAGGGCCAATTAGTCGCCCCTCAGAGATTCTTTAAATGGTTCACGCTTCCGAACTTGAAACAAGTCATTTAAAAGAACACCAGTCACTTGGAATCACATCCATGGGATCCTCTATGGGTGGAGAAACCTAGGTTCTATTCTGTTGTCGTCCTGCTTCCTTGTGTGACCTGTGACCTTGGAGGAAAGAAGTACCTCTTCCCCGGGCCTCAGTTTACCCATTTGTAATATGAGGGAGTGTGATGCAGCCTGGCCCTCTCCAGACCCCTCAGCCCTGAGAAGCGGTTATAAATTACATATTTAAAAGAGAAGGAGACATTTCTAGATATGTCTTCTGAAGCAAGGGAGACAAAAGCAAAATTAACCTATTGGGACTGCATCAAGTTAAAAAGCTTCTACACAGCAAAGAAAATCATTAACAAAGCCAGAATACAACCTACTGAATGGGAGAAGATATTTGCAAATGACATAGCTGATAAAAGGTTAGTATCCAAAATACATAAGGAACTTATACAACTCAACACCAAAAATTCAAATAATCCAATTAAAAATGGGCAGAAGACAGGGACATTTCTGGGATGCCTGGGTGGCTCAGCTGGTCAGGCATCTGCCTTCCACTCCGGTCGGGGTCCTGGGCTTGAGTCTGGCGTCGTTGGGCTCCTTGGTCAGCAGGGAGCCTACTTCTCCCTCTGCCTGCCGCTCCCCCTGCTTGTGCACGTGTTCTCTCTCTCTCTCTCTGACAAAAAAAAAAAGACATGGACATTTCTCCATAGAAGACATCCAGATGGCCAACAGACACATGAAAAGATGCTCAACATCACTCATCATCAGGGAAATACAAATTAAAGCCCCAATGAGATATTGCCTCAGAGCTGTCAGAATGGCTCAAATCAGAAACACAAGAAACAAGTATTGGCAAGGACGCAGAGAAAAAGGAACCCCCGTGCACTGTTGGTGGGAAGGCAAACTTTTCCACTGGTGCAGCCACTGTGGAAAACAGTATGAAGTTTCCTTAAAAACTTAAAAATAGAACTACCATATGCTCCAGTAATTCCACTACCGGGTATTTACCCAAAGAATAGGAAAACCCTAATTCAAAAAGATATATGACCCCCTATGTTTATTGCAGCATTGTTTACAAAAGCTGAATTATGGAAGCAATCCAAGTATCCATCAGGAGATGAATGGTTAAAGAAGATGTGGTGTGTGTGTATATATATGTATACACACACACACACAAATACATATATATACACATGCGTATATGTACATATACAATGAAATATTACTTGGCCATAAAAAATAATGAAATCTTGGGGTGCCTGGGTGGCTCAGTTGGTTAAGCAGCTGCCTTCGGCTCGGGTCATGATCCCAGGATCCTGGGATCGAGCCCTACATGGGGCTCCCTGCTCAGCAGGAAGCCTGCTTCTCCCTCTCCCTCTGCCTCTCCCCCTGCTCATGCTCTCTCTCTGTATCTCTGTGTCTCAAATGAATGAATAAAATCTTTAAAAAAAATAATAATAATGAAATCTTGCCATTTCCAACATATGGATGGATCTAGAGAGTATAATGTTAAGTGAAATAAATCAAAAACAAATACCATATGATTTCACTTACATGTGGAATTTAAGAAACAAAACAAATGAACAAAGAAAAAAAGAGACAAACCAAAAAACAGATTCTTAACTATATAGAGAACAAACTGATGGTTATCTGAGAGGAGGTAGGTGGGGAGATGGGTGAAATAGGTAAAGGGGATTAAGAATACAATTACCATGGGTGCCTGGGTGGCTCGGTTGGTTAAGCGACTGCCTTCAGCTCGGGTCATGATCCTGGAGTCCTGGAATCGAGTCCCACATCGGGCTTCCTGCTCAGCAGGGAGTCTGCTTCTCCCTCTGACCCTCTTCCCTCTCGTGCTTTCTATCTCATTCTCTCTCTCTCTCAAATAAATAAATAAAATCTTAAAAAAAAATACAATTACCATGATGAGCACTGCATAATATATAGAATTATTGAATCACGATATCATAAACCTGAAACTAATGTAACACTGTATGTTAACTATACTGGAATTAAAGTAAAAAATAAAAGAAAATTAATAAAAGAGGAGACATTCTAAGGGCCTGGCCACCAGGGGCCATCCCTGCTCACTTTATGCTGTCAGAATGTCCAGGCTGTCCTTGTCCAGAACTTTTACCCTGTCTCTGGGCATCTTCCCAACCTGGAACTGACCTGGACCGGATATTATGCAACATTCAGGAACCTTCTGTCACCTCCATGGACAGGCCAGTTTGGCCAGACTCCAACACTGAATAGGATCTGGCCAGGCCCAGAGGTTTCTCATTACATCCTGAGACCAAAGATGGTTTTTCCATGGACCTCCAAACCAGAGCAGAATCAGAACCTGGCACAGGTGGGTAGCTGGCATGTAGAGGACTGGGTCTCTCCTTCAGACCTGGAAAGTCTGGGACCAGACAGAAGAAACAGAGACATCCTCACTGTGATTTGGCATAGAGTTGGTTTCTTTACATTACAAATGTTCAGGCTCATTTAACTCAGACACTGAAATTCTCCTTAAAACAACAAGTATTGTATCATTCACACACCTCAAAATTGTTCAACATTGTTCAAAGGATGAATTCACAACTCATTCAGCGATTCTCTTGTCTGCTGTCCAGACACTTAAAGTGAAAAAGTTAAGGAACAAAAAAAAATTAAATACAGAAATATCTATCCTTTAAATTTAGAGTTTGTTTGTTTTTGTTTGTTCTTTTAAAGATTTTATTTATTTATTTGACACACAGAGAGAGAGCACAAGTAGGCAGAGCGGCAGGCAGAGGGAGAGGGAGAAGCAGGCTCTCCGCTGAGCAGGGAGCCTGATGCAGGGCTCGATCCCAGGACCCTGGGATCATGACCTGAGCCGAAGGCAGTCGCTTAACCAACTGAGCCACCCAGGCGCCCCAAATTTAGAGTTCTTTTATTGCTGTTATTGGTAGTGTTTTTGGTCTCATTTTGTTGTTTTGTTTTGTTTGTGTAATTTTACCTACGGAACATCCCTGGTCTATTGGAGCTCATAATCTACAAAACTGAATTTAGAGAAACCCTTCTGTAAAATGATTTTCAAATGTCAAGCTTGCTCAAAGTAACAGGCCCTAGAAGATTTTCCTCATTCTCCCTAGTCTTTCCAGATCCCACTGTCTTCTATCCTAACCCGCTGGAAGAGGAGCTGGGGATGCCCCACCCACTCTTGCTCATTTATTCTCCAAAAATTGCAACACCACAAAGACAAGCCATGATCCACCACCGACACAACCTGTATAAACAAAGATTGGTGCCTCTGCCTTCTGGCTGAGCAACCCCTACCCTGTGCCACCTCCATCAGATTGGACTCCATTTCTATCTAAGTCCCTCAAAGTGGGGATGAGTATGCTCAACGTTGGAGGAGCCAGCACTGTTGGCCTCCATGTTGAGGGGACCTCCATGTTGAGGGGGCTAGAAGAGAGCTCCTTTTTCAAGCCCCCTTGTGGCAGGAATGTTAGAAACTCTATCCTGGTATAAAGCCCATAAAACCCCTGAAAGAGACTCTCCTCCTGTCATCACTCCCAGACCCCCTCCCCAAGAGCCAATGCCACCTCAGGGTGAGGCAGAGAAAGAAGGAGGAAAGGCAGGGATCACACCCACCCACATAGCCCAATCCATCCTGCACCTGGAAAGCCCCATTAGTTTTATCACTCAGCCCTGCACTGTGGCCTGGGCTTGAAACTCTGAGCATGGCAGCTCAGGGCTTGTCCCAGGGTCAGACACATCTTGGGACGAGCCCAGGCCCTGCCACCTCTAAGCTGGGTGATCTAGCAGGAGTCACGCCATATCTCTGAGCCTCCATGTCCTTGATTGTAAAATAATCATAACATATCTGCCACAATGGGGGAGGAGGGATTCCATGAGCCATTAATTAATGTGAGAGCTTGATATTGAGCTGCCACTTAATACATTTGACATTTTACTATGACCTCAGTCACATCACATACCTCCTCTGCTCCAACCATCTAGCTGCTACCTCTCTGCTTCTGCTCCCTCCTCTCTCTCCTGGGCTGCCTTGGCTCCAGCCACGTTGGCCTTCTTGCCATTCCTTGAATAAGAAGGTGCCAGGCACCCTCCTATCTCAGGGCTTCTGCACTGGCTGTTGTCCCTGTGTCCATTTGGCTCAACCTATCACTCCCATCAGGACTTTGTTCATACGTCACCTTCTCAGTGTGGCTTTCCCTGGCCACCCCAGTTAAAATGCCAACCCACCTTCCCTCTCCCAGCTTTATTTTTCCCCAGTGACTTTGCCATCTGACACACTGGACTTCTTGGGTTGTTATCTTCTCCCCTCTTAGAACATCAGCTCCAGGGAAAGGCTGTGACTGTATTCCTGCACCCTGCACAAGGCCCAGACAGAGTGGGCCCACAGTAAATATTTGCCAATGAAATGAATGAATCATGACAAGATTGCTCAGAGATGGTTACAGAGCCTGTGAAGGGCAGGACTTGTTCTCAGTGGGAGAGAAGGGGAAAGGGAAGGGATTAGGGTAATCAGGAAAAGCTTCTCTGTGGGGGCAGGGAAACCTGAGCTTTAGAGCACAAATGGGGCTTAGGGGGGCAGGGTCCAGACACAGAGGACAATTCCAGTGCAGGGAGCAGACTAGGCAAAGGTCTGGTGGCAGGATTGAATGTGGAATATCTGGAAAGCAGGGATAAAGCAGGTGGGCTCAGAAGTAAGGCTAGACTATAAGGTCACAAACATTGACAAGAATCGTGGGGATCGGGCTCA